ATTTCATCAAGGAATGCAGGGATGGTTCAATATTAGAAAAATCCATCAAGGTATTCTGGCAAATGAATAAGGATAAAAATTACATGGACACACACAGAGAAAAGACCACTTAATAACATTAATCATTTATTTAATGAGAGGAAAGGGGAAATTTCTTAGTAAAAACTATCAACCTTCTTTAACTCGATGTTTAAAATTGCTCTACAGAATGGATATACACAGTTCTACACTTATTCTTGCAATATGTAAGGGTTTTTATGTCCCTACATCACCACCACCACTTGGCATTATCAATTTTTCTAATTTTGGCCAGTCTTAAGGATGTAAAGTGACAGCTCTTTTATAAAATCCCATGATCATATATTTGTTACCCTTTTGGGCTCCTCATCTATGAACTATCATTCTTTGTTTTCTTTACAATTCAGCAGTTTTTGTATATTCGAGGCATAAATCCTTTAGTGGTTTTACACAACCATCTTCTCTGAGCTTGTCATCTGTTTGTCGTCCTTTATTGACAGATATGATTAATCACTAAATACTTTATAGCTTGCATAGCTACTGTGAATAGTATCTTTCCCTTTTAATTACATTATCTAATTGGCTATTGCTCTTGTGGGAAAATGCCTGAAGTTTTTATAAACTTATTTTATAGTAAACTGCCTTAAACTTATTTTTAATGGTATGTTGTTTCTTTTGGCTTAATTTTTATTTTTGGCCTCGTGGCATGGCTTGTGGGATCTTAAGTTCCCTGACCAGGGCTCGAACCCGGGCCCACAGCAGTGAAAGCATGGAGTCCTAATCACTGGACTGCCAGGGAATTCTCTCTCTTGGTTTTTTATAGATGTTCCTGAACATCTGAAAATAATGACTTAAATATGAGTTTTACTTCTCACTTGCCAACATTGATAAGCTGTTTCTTTTTCTTTCCTTATAGTCTGGATCAGAACTTCCAGTTCTATATTAAGTAGTAGCATGATACTGGGCATAGCAGGTCTATTAGTTAGGATACTGGTTTGGCTACTTTAGTAGAGGCCAAATAACAATGGCTTCAGTAAGATGGAAGGTTCTTTCTTTTTTATGTGAAGGTCTGAGGTAGCAGGCAGTTCAGGAGATAAGTGGCCGCTCCATGAGACTGATGTGCTTAAGGTACGTTGCCCTTTCCCACATAGACAAAACTGGTTTGCCACGACCACTGGCTATGTTTACATTCTGGTGCATGGGAAAGAGGAAATTAGAAGAGGAGGGTGGGCTCTTTCCTTTTAAGGATGTGGCCTGGTTGTTATTTATTTCTGCTTCCATCCCACTGGTCAAAACCTAGTCACTTGTTTACACCTAGTTGCAAGATAGCCTGGAAAATACAGTCTCTTACCAGGAAGCTACAGGGGTTCAGAATGTGGGGGGACAGGGGTTCTGTAATGAGGAAGAAGAATGAAGATGTATATTGTACAGCTGTCTTCTTCCTATGTGGTGGTATATAACCATTACCAAGTAAAAGAAATTTCACAGATTAAGAGTTTCTCCAATCAAAAAAAAAGGGCTTCCCTGGTGGCGCAGTGGTTGAGAGTCGGCCTGACGATGCAGGGGACACGGGTTCGTGCCCCGGTCCAGGAAGATCCCACATGCTGTGGAGCAGCTGAGCCCATAAGCCATGGCCACTGAGCCTGCGCATCAGGAGCCTGTGCTCCACAACGGGAGAGGCCACAACAGTGAGAGGCCCGCGTACCGCAAAAAAACCAAAAAAACCAAAAAACTATATCACATGCTCTTCTTGTATCCATTGATATACCATGTATTACTTCTTACCTTCTTCAATGCAGTGAAGTGTATCAATGGGTTTTTGTAATGTTGATTACAATTCATATGCATATAAGCACATGAGTGAAGAACTTATGATTTAGTGTATATAGTATTTAGTTTTTCTAAGTATTTGATTCAAATATATAGAACTGATGATGTTGGGTATTATGTTTTGCACAATCTGAAGCACTGAACTTAGTGAAAATTCAGGCTGCAGTGCGGGAATTAGCACTTATTTAAAATTTTACTATATGCCTAGAATTTTCATTTAAGTAAAAAATAGCTGACATTTGAAAACCTACCATGTGCCAGGGACAAGTTATAAATAGTTATTATTATTCTCACTTCATGAGAAAACTGAATCACAGAGAGGTTAGGTAACTTACCTAAAGATATACAAACAGTAAGTAGAAAGACTAGGCTCTGAAGCTTCCTATCTTCCCACTCTGTAACAATGCCTCTCAATTATTAGTTTTTCAATGATGATAATAAATTATGATGATGACAGACAAGAGGAGTTGGGGTATTATTGCTTAATTCTTTCCTAAAATTTCAACTCAGAACCATAGGGAACTTTTCTATTTGCATGGAAAATTAAAATTTGAATTTACTAGAAAAACTGGGATTCATTTACAGAATTTCATTTTACTTAAAACTTTTTGGGAAAGTCCTACTATACAAAATTAGGAATGCCACAGGGCACGTAGATAGAAACAATCTGTGGAATTTGAAGGTATATTTGCACAATACCAATATAGCTCTAGAGTCTAAGGAAAATGCGACTTAGTCTCACATTCCCAAATTAAATAAGTATTTATACTTAAGAATGGATATATTCTTTATTCTAATTTCATGATTTCAAAATGATTCAAGTTGAACGAGGCAAGCTTTGTGAATCTCAAAAAAAAAAAAGTCTGCCTGAAATGAAATATATACATGATACTTGATACTTCTAGCTTTCAGGGCTTTGAATATAGTTAATAGATTAAAAATCAGAACAAGTCTTCGACGGGAAAAAAAATTTGAAAAGATTTTGCAGTGAAACAGTATGTTTTCTGGACTGAGTAAAAATCAAACAATTTTCTGAAAAATGCTCTCTTTCTTTGTAATATGCCATCTGTTGGGTCATACCAATAGGGTCAAACAGGAAAAAAATATTTAAAATTCTTTCAAGACATAACAAAAAGGAATAATTCACCCATCAAATACAAATATACTGTTTTATTCTATGGGAATATTTCTGTGGTTTCTGCAAGGTGAAAACCCAAGTGTTTAAAAAACAAAAAAGAACAGAATGGATAATTTAATGTTTTCTCTTGTTTGATATTTTTTCTCCCCTGGGGGGGAAAAATGTAATTTAACATAATTTTAATAAAATTTTAAAAAGCAAATAACCAGACACACATATCAATGGCTATGCTTATGAGGAATGACCAATAATATTTTCTTTTACGAATTAATTCAGGATCTGGACAACTGTGTGGACTAACATGCAATTGACATCCTGGTACAGCCATTTACCTGGATATTGGCTGTTCTCAATTAAAAGATACAGATTTTTTTTTTCTCTCTAGTGTTTTACAATAGTTTATCTACTATGCCATATATTTGTTTTTCTACAGAAGGGGAAATATTAGTGTTTATATAAACCATAAAATTTGTATACTGGGGACTATTACACCTGATGTTTCTGGATAGTTTATTGGCAGACTTATCAGACAATCCAACTGTTTTTCCTCCATATCAAACAAGGTCTGGAAGTAAGAAGTTTTCCAGTCAGAAATGACAAACACAGATGGAATTAATCATACAGAACTGGGGCAGATTTACTTCTTTCACATAGTTCTTGGTAACAAAAACAAAATTTGTTACAGGCAGAGGGACAGAACCGTAAGTACACAATGTCAAAAGGCCTACTTTTAAATTTTTATTGTAGTTAAAGAGTTTATTTATTGAAAAAAACCCCAAAAAACAACCTGTCACCCCCATCTGAAAAATGGGACATACTGTAAAGTCTTTCAAGGTTAAAGTTTCTAGGAGGCTTTTTAGACTTCTCTCATTTCTATTAAAGGGTCAAATTAACCTCAGCTAACGAAATTCTGTGATTGGCCAATATCATAAACGCTTTGATTCAAAATTTTGTGGGGAAGAAACAGAATGGAGATGAAGAAGAAGGATCCATATGCCAAACACACCCAGGACTTGCAATCCTCAGAGAACTACTAAAACAGCTAGAGTCTGGAATAATGCTATAGAAGACCTGCTCGTGGATATGAAAGACAGTCAGTGTCTTTGTATCCTAACCCCAAAATCCTATTTTCAAGTTTCTTTGGGCAACAAGCTCATCTTCCAAATGCTTTATATAGGAATATACTAGGACCTCTTCTACCATAATTCTGATAGCTAAGTAACACTGTGTCTTTGTGGAATCACCCACAGGCTTGCCAGAGTAAGGAGAGAGACTCTTTCTGAAATGACAAGGGCCTCCAGAAACTGGTGCAAAAGACAAAATGATAGGAACTATCTGGGAAACAGGAAGATAAAACAATGGGAGAAAAGCTGCCATTTGGGGATAAAATGGAAACAAAAGGAGAACCCCCATTTCTGTGTACCACAGCTCATGCTGTGAGACAGCAGCAATAAAGGCTGACACCCAGAGAAGTGGGCATTTTAGTGGGTTTTCTGCAAACGTTTCAAGACACTTGGGGTCTAATGGGCTCCACAGATTTTCTGTGTACATAATCATTTTGCAGAGTTTCAGCCCCTTGAACTTAATTTACCCACATCCAGACCCACAGCTGAGAAGGCTAGACCCAGAAAGTGAAAGGGACACATTACTGCATGAACAGCAGTGAAGGCCTTTTCCTCTGACTTGAGGGACCCCATGGCAAAAGCACCAGAGGCTTCTATCCTTCACAGAATTGGCTTGGCAGTGAAAATCAAAATCAAGACCACTTCACTCTCTACCTTTTAAAAAAAGTTGAATATTTTTATTGGGTCTTCAAGTCTGGGTCCCACAGTCCTCATCTGATGCCACTCTTAGCTCCGAACTGATTTTTCCCCTGACTTTTACATAGGGCTTGCCCAAGTAGCCTACTGCAGCCAAGGTTTCACTCCAAAGCTACCTCTCTAAGGTCTAAGGTTACTATGGTAGAGTTTTATACAACAGTTTTCCTTAAAAATATTCCACAATTTGTTATTCCCAAACAAAATAAGATTATGCACCACTCAGAGAAATTGGTTAGTCATTCTGAAGATGTCTAAGAACTATATCACTGCCAAAGAACAACATTTCTCAGTTCATATTCTTTCCTTCAATTTTCATTTGTACATCCACACTGTGGTTCACGAGTCGTCTGTTTTCCATTATCTTATAATCAAGTCAAGAGGACTTGGACTTATAGATCGTTTTCCAAAGCTGGATGCATTCACAGTTTGGTGCATACCAACGTGTATGAAAATAGGAACCCCACTTCCACTTTAATCTGATAATTCAACATCAGAGTCTTCTGATTTGGCTTTGGCAAGTTCTTCGTGTACCTCCCTCACCATGAGAATACGTGTTAACATGGTGTCCAGGGTCCCAGGGTCTATTGGAAACGTGGAGTACCACATGGGGCTATTTGGAACACAGGAGCGCTCAGGTTGAAGGTAAAACACATCATTCCTCTGCTTCACACTTTCAGAACTATCCACAGGAGAAAAAAAGAAAAAGAAAGAAAATTGGGATCAGAGAGTATAGGAAATATGTAACTACTCTTTAAATATAATGGCTCTCAACTTTTCCATACTGCGACTAATAAACAATGCACCCACAGATATAAACAAGTTTACAGGCATTTATGCTCCAGGAGCAACCTGTAACTCTGTATTTTTTCTCCCACACTCAAGAATCACACTGGATTGAAAGTGAGTATAATGTTAATAGATGACAAAGTGTAAATCTTTCAGACTTTAGTACTTAAAACATTACCAGGAGTAACAAAAAATTCAATTCACATGTGACACTATGGCTGAGAACCACATATCCTCAGTGCCCAATATCCTGGAATGAATCCCAAGAGCACTCAATACACATTATCAAAGAACAAACCCAGTGATTATATTTCTTTGAGAAAAAAATGCTTTAGTGTGGATCTTACAACTCTTTAAAGTCATAAAGTTTCTGTAAGAAAAACACCACTCAAAAAATTTCAATTCTTTAAAAATAAATTGCTTTCCTATTTATAGAGTCAGTACTACAACTTTTCCCCTTCTTTTCTATATAAATAATAAATTCACAGCAGTTTAGATATCACATAAAGTTGAGTAACAGTTGTAAAGATCAAACAATGGCAGCGATTCTTGCTTTTCAAGAGATTTTTGGGAAAAAAATTTACCAAGGTGAAGCAATTTGTTTCTTGGTTCAAAATCCAGGCAGATATGAGAATGGGGAAAAAATAAAATTGTAAGTAAATCCTTGTTTAGAGTTACAGACCAGCTACCTTTCTGAAATCTATAGTATTTTAACTATTTTTTGCAGTGTGTTATATCTAGTTCAGAGGAAAATCACTTACCATTTGGACAGGTAAAACTCATAAAGTCGGACTGGGCATCTTAGTGGGTTGTCAGTATTTTCTGCCATCTCCACACCCACTGGAACCTCATCATCTTCGCTTCGTTTCCTCTTGCCAACAGTTAGTTTATCTTGAGACAGGAAATTATAATCAAAGTATTAGAAAAGTCTTTCTTCGAGTCTTAAGACACCCAATGAGCTTTGCTTCTAGTCACTCCCTCTCCTTTCCTTTCACTTACTCACTCGTTCAACATTTATTGAGGACCTATGGAGGCACCAGATTAGTGCTGGGTTAATCAAACAAAGTCCCTGTCCTGTAAAATTTATGTTTCCCTTCTCACCAAAGTGGAGGCAGCATGACAAAAAGCATTGATGCTTGAGAGTACGTCTCAATTCTGAGCCTGAATTTAAGAGATTTTATTAGGCATAGGGTTGTTAAGCCACAGCAAAATAAAGAGAAAAAAGGGTTCCATATGTTCTTCTATAGTAGAGATCAAGACAGAAGTTGATCTCTTTCTCTGAAAATATTTCTCCTGTGGGGCACCCGTGTCCACTGGGCATCTGTTTAAGTTTCTTTCATTTGCATAGTATTATGAGAAATGAAATCTTTGCTGGGAAAAGAAATTCTCAGTAAGTTGACCATTTGATAAGGAAAGAGCAAACCCTTTTTCACCAACAGAATTTTGCAGAGGCCAAGGATTATCAGAAAGAAGCCGGGGTGAGACTTCCCTGGCAGTCCAGTAGTTAAGACTCTGTGCATTCCAATGCAGGTGGTGCGCGTTTGATCCCTGGTTGAGGAGCTAAGATCCCACGTGCCTTGCGGCCAAAAACCCCACCAAAACATAAAACAGAAGCAATGTTGTATCAAATTCAATAAAGACTTTAAAAATGGTCCACATCAAAAAAAAAAAAGTCCACATCAAAAAAAAAATCTTAAAAAAAAAAAAAAAGTGGGGGGGGGGAGCTTCCCTGGTGGCACAGTGGTTGAGAGTCCGCCTACCAATGCAGGGGACACGGGTTTGTGCCCTGGTCCGGGAAGATCCCACATGCCGCAGAGCGGCTGGGCCCGTGAGCCGTGGCCACTGAGCCTGTGCGTCCAGAGCCTGTGCTCCGCAAGAGGAGAGGCCACAACAGTGAGAGGCCCGTGTACCACAAAAAAAAAAAAAAAAGAAGAAAGAAGCCAGGGTGAAGTCATGGAAGGTAGTTTCTTTCCCACTTTCTCCATTGAATTTTCAAGAGAGTATTAGGTGGATCTGAAAACCTGAGGAAAAAGGTTTTCTTGTTTTTTTCTTATAGATACTTTTAACAACTGATCCAGAACTTTCCCCAGCCTCCTGTATTAGTTATGACTTAAACAAAAGTCATCCAGTTTTCCATTTAAAGACTACCTAAATAATTTGCTAGCTGCTCATTCAGAAAAAGAAGCTAAATTTATTACCAATCTGGTAAAGCACCTAATCAGAAAACAGAGAAATGTTGCCTCCTTGCCTCTGCCTCCCTGAATTAATATCAATTAAGAGCATAAAATGGGCTATATATAAACACAATAAAGGAAAGAGGACATGGACACATGGTGAAAAAGCAAGATAATCTTAGTATTTTATAAAGTAAAGGAGCAACTGAGAAAAAAGTTAACACAACGATGAACATCACAATTATTCTTTACAGATTTTAGTTTCAGTAATTTAAAATTCTCACATTGAAAACATATACTCCACTCTTTTCCCAAGGAAGTAACAGCTTGATTTGGGGAATTTTAGAACTTACAATTTTCTTCAAAATTAATAAATGTAATTTCTAGTTCCATAATAACATTAGTTTTTTAAACATTAAAAACAAACTATTACTTAATAGGCTGTTTTTGGAATGCAAGACCATAAACCTTCTAATAAAACAGTCACTGCTGATATTATTCTACTGTGTATGAAGGCAGTATACGCTAGGTCAGGTTTAAGTTCCTTCATATTTTGACAACGTTAACTAAGACGGAGCACTCTGGTAAAAAAAAAAAAAGTTTTAGAAACAGTAGATGTAAAAGTTAAGCAAGTTCCTTTTAACTAGGAATTGACCTATCAGTTGCCTCTAAATCAGTGATTCCCAACCTTGGCTTTATATTTAAATTCCCTGCGAAGTTTTAAAATGCAGATTATCTGGGCTATAGACCAATTAAATCAGAATTTCTAATTTAAAAGCCAATAAAACAGGACTTCCCTGGCGGTCCAATGGTTAAGACTCTGTGCTTCCACTGCAGGGGGCACAGGTTCAATACCTGGTCTGGGAACTAAGATCCTACAAGCCATGCAGCACAGCAAGGAAAAAAAAAAAAAACAATAGAAGTGATTCCTCTAATTTTGAGTTGAGCCTTTAACCTGGCCCTGACAATAAAGAAAAGCATTTAAATGTTAAAGCTATACTCTTCCATGTCTAGAATTTGCAATTACTCTTCTGTAATGTGTCTATTTGAATATTAATAAATTGACTTCAAATAGCAATCTTACAAGAGGGGGACAAGATGGCAGAGTAGGAAGATCCTGGGCTCATCTCCTTCCATGAACACACCAAAATTACAACTACACATAGAGGAACTATCCCTGAGAAAGACCTGAAGACTGGCAGAAAAGATTTTCCACAACTAAGGATGAAAAACAAATCCTCACTAAGATGGGTAGGAGGGGTGGAGATGGTATCTGGCCAGGACCCATACCTCTGGCGCAGGGATCCACAAGCAGGGAGGAGATCAAAACTGTAGAGGTCCTCCTGAGGAGCAAAGGGTGCAAACCCCACTGAGCTCCCCAGCCTCGGGGGAACCATCACCAGAAAGACAAACCCCCATAACAACTGGCTTTGAAAACCAGTGGGACTTATGTTCAGAGAGCTGTAAGAAAATGAAACTCCACTCTAAAGGGCACATGCAAAAACTATCTTGCTCCAAGTCCCATTGCAGAGGAAGTGGTTTGAAAAATACCTGGGTCATACGTAAAGGAGATTCATTGACTGATTTTATGGTGTGTGCAGGAGAGTCAGGGATCTTTTGTAATTTTCTCTGGTTATGTAGCCACTGGGCAACACCAGGATTTTTTGTTCACCTTCTACACCTAGCTGGTACAGTGCTGGTAGGCACCATTTATGACTCTCCACATCTCACCCCAGGTTCACCTGCAGATCCACCCCAGTTGACACTCCTCCAAAGCAACCCCATACGCTATCATACTCAGCAGGTGGCTTCAGCGAGCACTAGAGCCCAAAGCATCCCACCATCCTGCCACTGCCAGCAGGCTCCCTCAGCTGGTACTGGAGCCCCTCCAAAAGCAGCTCCCACCCTAGGAGATGGCCCCGCACACCAGAGTACCTGCAAGTCACAGCTGGGCATTATAGCCAGCTGTGCCAGGGGCCAGCCCTGCACACTAGCACACCCACAGCCATCATGGCCCAGCCACAACAGGAGGGTACATGCAGCCTTGTGCTACTGGGCCTCATAGGATACCTTTTACATAAAGCCATGCTTTTAAGAATGGGAGATGTAGCTGATCTATCCAGTACATAGAACCAAACACAGAGAGCTAGGAAAACTGAGGAGACAAAGGAATTGTTCCAAAGGAAAGAACAAGACAAAAACCTCAAAAAAAAAAAAAAAAAAAAAGAACTAAACAAAACAAAGATAGACAATCTACCAGATAAAGAGTTCAAAATAATGGTCATAAAGATACTAACCGAATTCAGGAGAAGAATGGAGGACCACTGTGAGACCTTCAACGAAGAGATAAAGAAAATAAAAAAGAACCAATCAGAGATAAAGAATACAATGACTGAAATGAAAAATCCACTAGAGGGAATCAATAGCAGATTAGATGAAGCAGAAGAATGGATCAGTGACCTGGAAGAAAGAGTGGTAGAAATCACCCCACTGTAACAGCAAAAGGAAAAAAAAAACTGAGGATAGCTTACCTCTGGGGACAACATCAAGCATACTAACATTTGCATTATGAGGACTCCAGAAGGAGGAGAGAAGAAGAAACAGAAAACTTATTTGAAGAAAAAATGACTGAAAACTTGATTAACCTGGAGAAGTCATCCAATTTCAGGAAACAGAGAGTCCCAAACAAGATGAACCCAAAGAAACCCACACCAAGACACATTATAATTAAAATGTCAAAAGTTAAAGATAGAGAGAGAATATTTAAAGCAGCAAGAGAAAAACAACTAGTTACATATAGGGGAGCCTGCATAAGACCATCAGCTGGCTTTTCAGCAGAAACCTGACAGGCCAGAAGGGAATGGCATGAGATGTTCAAAATACTGAAAGGAAAAAATTTACAACCAAGACTACTCTATCTGTCAAGATTATCATTCAGAATTAAAGGAGAAATAAAGTTTCCCAGAGAAGCAGAAACTAAAAGAGTTTATCATTACTAAACTGACCTTACAATAAACATTCAAGGGACTTCTTTAAACATAAGAAAAGGCCATAACTAGAAATATGAAAATTATGGAAGAAAAAAAATCTCAATGTAAAGGCAAACATATAGTAAAGGTAGTGAATCAACCACCTATGTACCTAGTATGAAGATTAAAAAAGTAGTAAGATCATATAATCTGTAATTATTAAAGAATATACAAAATTTTTAAAAAGTAAAGTATGTCAAAAACATAAAAGGTGAGGGGGGGAGTAAAAATGTAGTACTTTTAGAATGCACTCAAACTTAAGCAACCATCAACTTAAAATAGACTGCTATATACACAAGTTGTTATGTAACAGCCTTATGATAACCACAAACCAAAACCCAATAATAGATATACATACAAGGGCTTCCCTGGTGGCGCAGTGGCTGAGAGTCCACCTGCCGATGCAGGGGGCGCGGGTTCGTGCCCGGTCCGGGAAGATCCCACATGCCACGGAGCGGCTGGGCCCGTGGGCCATGGCCACTGAGCCTGCGCGTCCGGAGCCTGTGCTCCGCAACGGGAGAGGCCACAACAGTGAGAGGCCCGCGTACCGCAAAAAATAAAAAATAGATATACACACGAAAAAGAAAAAAGAATACTAACATAACACTAAAAAGCCATTAAATCGCAAGGGAATAGAGCAAGAGAAAAAGAAACAGACAAGAACAATACAACCAACCAGAAAACAGTGAACAAAATGGTAATAAGTATGTACCTATCAGTAATTACTTTACATGTAAATAGACTAAATGCTGCAATCTGAAGACAGAGGGTGGCTGACTGGATACCAAAATAAGATCCATATATATGCTGCCTATCAGAGACTCACTTCAGATCTAAAGAAAACACACAGACTGAAAGCAAGAGGGATAGAAAAAGATATTCCATGCAAATGGAAATGAAAAGACAGCTGGGGTGGCAATACTCATATCAGATGAAACAGACTTTAAAACAAAGAGACAAAGAAGGACACTGCATAATGATAAAGGGATCAGTCCAACAATAAGAAGAAACACTTGTATATATGTATGCATCCTACACAGGAGCACCTAAATATATAAAGCAAATATTAAGAGACATAAAAGGAGAAAGTGACAGTAACACACTAACAGTAGGGGACTTTAACACTCCACTTACATCAATGAACAGATCATCCAAACACAAAATAAATAAGGAAACATTGGCCTTAAATGACACATTTGACCAGATGGACTTAATAAATAGTACATTCCACCCCAAAATAGTATAACATTCTTTTCAAGTACACATGGAACATTCTCCATGATAGATCACATGTTAGGCTACAAAACAAATCTCAATAAGTTTAAGAAAACTGAAATCATATTAAGCACCTTTCCTAACCACAACGGTACCAGGCTAGAAATCAATTAAAAGAAAACCACTGGCAAAAACAAATATGTGGAGTCTAAATAACACGCTACTAAACAACCAATGAATCACTGAAGAAATCAAAGAGGAAATCAAAACATACTTTGAGACAAAATCTATGGGATGCAGCAAAAACAGTTCTAAGAGAGAAATTTATAGCAATATTGGTCTACCTTAGGAAACAAGAAAAATCTCAAATAATCTAACCTTACACCTAAAGGAACTAGAAAAAGAACCACCAAAACCCGAAATTAGCAGAAGGAAGGAAATGATCAAGATCAAGATCAAAATGAAAATAAATGAAACAGAGACTAAAAAACAATAGAAAAGAGCCTGTCCTTTGAGAAGATGAACAAAATTGACAAACCTTTAGCCAGATTCATCAAGAAAAAAGAGAGGGCCCAAATAAATAAAATGAAAAATGAAACAGAAGTTACAATTGACACCACAGAAATACAACAGATCATAAGAGATTACTATGAACAACTATACGCCAACAGATTGGACAACCGAGAGGAAATGGATAAATTCCTAGAAACATACTATCTTTCAAGACTAAATCAGGCAAGAAATAGAAAACATGAACAGTAATGAAACTGAATCAGTAATCATAAAACTCCCAACAAACAAAAGTCTGGAACCAGATGGCTTCACAGATGAATTCTACCAAACATTTAAAGAAGAGTTAATACCTATCTGTCTCAAGCTATTCCAAAACATAGAAGAGAAAGGAACTCTTCCAAACTCATTCTACAAGACCAGCATGATACCAAAACCAGACAAAGACACCAAAGAAATAAAATTACAGGCCAATATCGCTGATAAACACAAATGCAAAAATCCTCAACAAGGTATCAGCAAACTGAATTCAACAATACATTAAAAGGATCGTATACCATGAGCAAGTGGGATTTATCCCAGGGATGCAAGGATGGATCAATATTCACAAATCAACATGATATACCACATTAAGAAAATGAAGGATACAAAGCACAAGATCATCTCAATAGATGCAGAAAAAGCTTTTGAAAAACTTCAACATCCATTTCTGATAAAAACTCTCAACAAAGTGGCTACAGAGGGAATATACCGCAACATAATAAATGTCATGTATGATAAACTCATAGCTAACATCATACTCAATGGTGAAAAGCTGAAACTATTTCCTCTAAGATTGGGAATAAGACAAGGATGCCCACTCTTGCCACTTTCATTTAACATGGTATTAGACGTCCTAGCCATGGCAATCAGATAAGAAGAGGAAATTTTAAAAATCCAAACTGGAAAGGATGAAGTAAAACCACCACCATCTTCAGAGGACATGATACTGTATACAGAATACTCTAAAGACACTACCAAAGAACTATCAGAATAAATAAATTCAGTAAGTACATTTTACAGGATACAAAATATGCAGAAATCTTTTGCATTTCTATACACTCATGACCATCTATCAGAAAGAGAAATTAAGAAAACAATTCCATTTACAATTGCATCAAAAATAATAAAACACCTAGGAATAAACTTAACCAAAGAGGTGAAAGACCTGTACTCTAAAAACTGTAAGACACTGATGAAAGAAATCAAAGACAACACAAATAAATGGAAAGATACACCATGCTCATGGATTGAAAGAATTAATAGTGTTAAAATGTCCATCCCAAAATAACTTACAGAGTCAATGCAATGCTATCAAAATACCAGTGGCATTTTTCACAAAAATAGAGCAGATACTCCTAAAATTTATATGAAACCACAAAAGACCCCAAATAGCCAAAGCTATCTTGAGTAAGAAGAACAAAGCTGGAGGTTCACACTCCCTGACTTCAAACTACAGTTGACCCTTACACAACACAAGTTTGAACAACGTGGATCCACTTATACATAGATTTTTTTCAATAATTAGATACTACGGTACTATACAATCATGGCTGTTTGAATCTGCAGATGTGAAACTGTGGATAAGGAGGGCTGACTGTAAAATTATATGCGGATTTTGGACTGTGAGTAGGGTTGGTGGCCCAACCTACGTATTGTTTATGGGTCAACTGCATACCACAAAGCCATAGTAATCAAAACAGTATGACAGTGGCACAAAAACAAACACACAGATCAATGGAACAGAATAGCTTGCCCAGACATAAACCCATGCTTACATGGCCAATTAACGTATGACAAAGGAAGCAAGAATATACAATGGGGAAAGGACAGACTCTTCAATAAATGGAGTTGAGAAAACTGGACAGCTACATGGAAAAGAATGAAACTGGACCACTTTTTTCACATCATATACAAAATTAAACTCAAAATGGATTAAAGACTTAAACGTTAAGAACTGAAACCATAAAAGTCCTAGAAGAAAACACAGGCAGGAAACTTTGACATCGGTTTTAATAATATTTTTTGGGATCTGTCTCCTCAGGTAAAGACAACCAAAGCAAAAATAAACAAATGGGACCACATCAAACTAAGAAGATTTTGCATAGCAAAGGAAACCCTTAACAAAATGAAAAGGCAACCTACTGAATGGGAGAGGATATTTGCAAATTATATATCTGGAAAGGGATTAATATCCAAAATGTATAAAGAACTCAGAGAACTCAATATCCAAAAAACAAACAAAAAATGCAATTAAAAAATGGGCAGATGATCTGAATAGCCATTCCCAAAGGGACATACAGATTGCCAACAGAAACAGGGAAAGGTGCTCCACATCACTAATCATCAGGGAAATGCAAGTCAAAACCACAATGAGATAACGCCTCACCCTTGTCAGAATGACTATCATGAAAGGGACAAGAGATATCAAGTGTTGGCAACGATGTGTAAAAAGGGGAACACTCATGCACTGTTGGTGGGAATGTAAACTGGTGCAGCCATTGTGAAAAAACAGTATGTAGCTTCCTCAAAAATTAAACATAGAACTACCATATGATCCAGCAATTCCACTTATTGGTATTTTTTACCCAAAGAAAACAAAAACACTAATTCAAAAAGATATGTATGCATCCCTATGTCCACTGCAGCATTATTGATAATACCCAAAATATGGAAGTGTCCATCAACAGAATGGTTTAATTCACTCAGCTATAAAAAAGAATGAAATCTTGCCATTTGTGACAACATAAAGGGTGTTATGCTAAGTGAAATAAGTCAGTGAGAAAAAGAAAAATACCGTATGATTTCACCCAAATGTAGAATACAAAAAATAAAACAAATGAACAAACAAAACAGAAATAGATTCACAGCTACAGAGAACAAATTGGTGGTTGCCAGAGGGAAGAGGGGTGGGGGATGGGCAGAACAGGTGAAGGGGATTAAGAGGAACGAACTTCCAGTTATAAGATAAGGCACAAGGAGGTAACATACAGCATAAGGAATACGGCCAATAATATTGGAGTAACTTTGTACGGAGACAGATAGTTACTAGACTTATCATGGTGATCATTTCATAATGTATTTAAATGTCAAGTCTCTATGTTGCACACCTGAAACTAACATAATATTGTACATCAACTATACTTCAATTAAAAAAAAAGAATGAAAGAAAGGAAACTTAAAAACTCCACCACACACCTGGTTCTGTCTCCTGCTTTTGTGAAGGTGGGAAGAACCTCAGATATGTCATCTTGGTACTGTACTTCAGAGTCCTGGTCCGTCTCATCACATGGGCAAAGGAAAGCTTCAAGTGCTCAGTAACATTCTTTAGTTGAAAGTATTTGGTATTGAAGAAAAGGAGGGTGTTCAAGAGGACGATTGGTGAGTAAGCGCCCAGCTGTTTGCACTCCCACAAATGCTCTTCTTCAATGCGAGAGAACATGTAACCTGAACAGAAGAAAGGGGAAAAAGAAACAGTCCTAAGCTCCTGCTAAATGGGACTAAGTAATTTCTCTAATCCTCAGACAGGAAGATACTAAGGAAAAGACTGTTCCTCTCTTTCTCCCTCTTCCTCATACAGAAAAATAGAAAAAGCACTGCAAAGAAAAGGCAGATGATTCCACTGAAGCAGACACTGTGAGCACTCCCCTGAAACAGTTTTAATCTATTGTTATTTTAGACCAGGGGCTGGTAAACTTTTTCTGTGAAGAGCCAGATGGTAAACATATTAAGCACTGTGGGCCATGAGGGCTTTGAAAACAACTTTGTTGTTGTAAAAGATAAGGAAGTGTAGACAATACATAAACAAATAGGTGTGGCTATTTGTAAAATTTATTTATAGAAACAAATTTGAATTTCATTCAATTTTCACAGGCCACAAAATATTTTTCTTTAATTTTTTTTCCCAACTATTTAGAAATGTAAAAAATATTTTTAGCTCATGTACTATAAAGAAACAGGCAGCAGGCCTGATCTGGCCCGTGAGCTGCAGTTTGCAGACTCCTGTTTGAGATCATTCTGTTTACTGTTAACTGGTTCAGTTTTATTTGTCTAATATCTTTAGAGGACAGATAGAGCTCTCTCTCCCTCCTATCTCTTCTTATTTTAAATTTATATTAAGAGCGATTGCTTCATGATAACTTATCTGGATTTTGCTTGAAAATCAGAGGTCAGAAAAAAAAAAATAAGTATACTTTTAAATGCACCTTCCTCATGATACCCCGTAAACACAGGTCTTTCCTAACGTTCTCTCCCCAATCCTCTTTGTTGCTGCTTCTGCATTCTATTCCTGGAAGGCTATCCATGAACACAGATTTATTACTTGCAAATCTATGTCTCTAGCCCCCTATTTGAATGCTAAATGCATCATGCCACCGCACTGCTCATAATGCGTCAAAGGTGCCCTGTAGCTCAACAGAAAGGGCACACATTTCTGGGCATCACATTTAACCTCTCCATTCATAGCCAAGGTGCATGAGACCAGGAGTGAATTAGGAACTTGTCCAAAGACATATGGTCACAGACAATTCAAGGATGAAGACTTAACTCTCTTTAACAACCAGTTCAGGGTACTTTTTATAAACTATTGAAAAAGGTCCATTGCTAACAGAGTCTAAAAGTAGCATATGTGCCAGCTACTGATACCATGTACAACTTTACCAAAACTACCAGATCAAAAATGGTTTCTAAAAAGTAAATGTAACCTTCAGTTGTTTTTTATATTCAATAGTTAGTATCTATTCATGTACTGTATGGAAGGTATAGTTTTACTAAAATAATTGATAATAAACCAAAGACTTTCTCCTCAAAAGTCCAAATATGTTATAAATCAAGACAAATATAAAATGAACAATTTATAAAAAGAGAATCACAAAACAAGCAATTTAAGAAGGCATATCATGAAAAGAATCAAAATATAATCATCCTACCATTAGGAAGTATTGTAGGTTCCCATATTTTCAAGAGTTTGGTAAGTTCAATCATAAATCTGGAATAGGGCTCAGTAAAAATGTTATCTATTCTACCATTTTCAAACAGGTACTACAAGAGAAAAAAATGGAAACATATATGTTGATACAAAAAACCCCACAAGTTTTTAAAAAGAATATTTTTAGGAATATAGTTTACCCTTAGTTTTTATCCTTACAATACTGTGAACCATTTTAAGGATACAGTTAAAACACCAGAATTTAAGCTAAAGATCCTTTTCACATGAATTAACATTATCTTGAGCACTGAGCTTGTAAGGTGAAGTTTTCTATTTCCTTTTAAAAACATGAATGGTATAAAATAATTATAATAAGTACCCTTCAGTTAGTTAATAAAACTGATATACTAAAAATTGGTCCTAATTCAAATTTCTCAAATCATTTTTCTAATTCTCAGTGTCTGAGGTGCGCTCTTAGCAGTTTTTGTTTGTTTTTTAGCCTAGTTATAAGATGATTTCCTGCAAATAATATAGTTATCTAGTGTCAGATAACCTGAGGCTATCCAAAATTTAAAACTATTTATTTGGAGGCTTCTAACCACAGCTCTCAACTCTCTGCCTCACAAGCCAGCCTTCAAAAAGTTCAAGTCTAATTATATGACTTAAAAGTATGCTAATTATAACCATCAAGAATCATATCACAGGGCCTTCCCTGGTGGCACAGTGGTTAAGAATCCACCTGCCAATGCAGGGGACATGGATTCAAGCTCTGGTCCAGGAAGATCCCACATGCCGCGAAGCAACTAAGCCCGTGTGCCGCAACTACTGAGCCTGTGAGTCACAACTACTGAGTCCATGTGCCTAAAGCCTGTGCTCTGCAACGAGAAGCCACCACAATGAGAAACCCGCGCATCGCAATGAAGACTAGCCCCCGCTCGCCACAACTAGAGAAAGCCCGTGCGCAGCAACAAAAAAAAAGACCCAATGCAGCCCCCCCAAAAAAAATCACATCACAGAATGGGAAACACGCAACAGTTTGAGTAAATTACTGTTAAATATTTTGACGGTGCAGGTCAGGTCAGAGTCAAGCACTTCAGAGAAATACAATGAACAGAACAAGAGAATAACACAAAGTAGCATAATTATATGCTAAAAATCTTTCAGTGTTCTTTTTTGTTGTTGTTGTTGATACGCGGCCTCTCACTGTTGTGGCCTCTCCCGTTGCGGAGCACAGGCTCCGGACGCGCAGGCTCAGCAGCCATGGCTCATGGGCCCAGCTGCTCCGCGGCATGTGGGATCTTCCCAGACCGGGGCACGAACCTGTGTCCCCTACATCAGCAGGCGGACTCTCAACCACTGCGCCACCAGGGAAGCCCCTAGTGTTTTTAAGATCTGGTATTTTAAACTTATTTATCTATGGCTATCTTGGTTTCCTGCTTTTTGATCTATGTATGACTTGCAGTAAATTTTTATTTCCACTTAAATTTATTCCGGCTAATAAAAATTACACACCATTTCAACGTGCATTTTTATAGGCCTCTTCAAAGGCAATTTATGATTGTATCGCCAGATTACAGTTTTGTTGTTGAAAAGTATTCTTCATTTTCTTTATTTTAATAAAGTTATTTTCACAACTTAAAAATATTATATCCTCATTATGGAAAGAGTTTAAAATACAGAAAAGGTGGAAGAAAGATATACTCAAACTCACTACACAAAGGCAACTACTGGTAACAGTCAGGAGTTATTTCAATCTTAAAAAACATTTCCTTTATGAATACACAGAATTGAGTTTTGTACCTTTACTCAAATATGAGTACCTATAAAATACATGGGTTTAAAAAAAATCACTTCCCCCTTAGATCAGAAACAAGATAAAAATGCCACTTCTACTGAACATTGTACAGGAAATCCTAGCCAGAGTAATCAGGTGAGAAAGAGAAATAAAAAGTATTGAAATAGGAAAGGAAGAAGTAAAACCATCTCTATATGCAGTGACATGAACCTATATATAGAAAATTCTAAAGTGTCTACAAAAAAACTAGTTATTAGAGCTAGTAAATGAACTTGGTAAAGCTGCAGAGTATAAGCAACACAAAATCAGTTGTAATAAACAATCCAAAGAGAAAATTAAGAAAATTCCATTTACAATAGCATCAGACAGAATAAAATACTTAAGAATAAATTTAACAAAAGAGGTATGTGATTTACACGCTTAAAGCTACATAAAACTGCTGAAATTAAAGAACACCTAGGAAAAACATCTTGTACTCATGGATCTAAAGACAAAATTGTTAAAACAGCAATATTCCCCAAAGCAATCTACAGATTCAATACAATCCTATCAAAATCCCAACGGTTTAGTTTTTGAAGAAATGGAAAAGTTGATCCTAAAATTGATATGAAATTGCAAGGAACCTCGAATAGCCAAAAGAATCTTGAGGAATCACACTTCCCAATTTCAAAACTTACTACAAACCTACAGTAATCAAAATAGTGAGTACTACCATAAGAATAGCCATAAACCAATGTATTAAAAACTGAGAGTCCAAAATAAACACATGCATATTTAGTCAAACGATTTTTGACAAGGATGTCTCCTGTCACCTATGTCAAATCACCTATGTCACTTCTTTTGTGAACTGCTATTTATGCCTTTTTTGTGCATTTACCAATAAAATGCACCAACCTCAATTCCTCTTATTCTAACAGTCTCAGTTTAACTTATAAAAGGCTTATATGACCAAGACTTTTAAATCAGGGTCAGTAGTTCATTAAGGAGAGAGTATACGAGCAATACCAAACAAACAATATATACTATAAGTTTTCAGCTTAATTCACAAGTTCTATCAGAATTATTAAAAATGCAATAGATTTTGTAACAATTATTGAATTTCGTACCTGCTGAATTCCAAGGCACAAGTATAAGATACTGTCTGGATCATACTTTTCACCATTTGGTCTCCGCACTTCTTGAATAAACTGGCATAAGCCTAAACTCAACTCAGCAAAAGTGCAGGACAGAATATCTTCCTTCAGCTTGATAGAGCGGACTGTGGAAAGGTAGAAAACATCTGAAATACTAACTTATAGAAAAATAATAACATTACTCAACTCACTGAATAAACACTGACTACACTGCCCCAGGTATTGTGGTGTACACTGGTGAATACATGGATTAAAGACAGATCCTGATCTCAAGGCTTTTTTAGGTAAAGAAATAAAGACAATGAAGCACATATGACGTAATAGGGTGCTATGACAGGGGTTTTATCTAAATAAAATTCTATGAAAAAAAATAAGGGCCATCTAACAGACAGGGAAGGGTCATGTTAGATTCTGGGAGATGTGAAAGGTGGAGAAGAATTAAACAAGTGGAGGAAGAATTCCAATTTGAGGATATAAAAAGATTTCCCGAAGTATACTCCACAAAATACTAATCATGTGAGAGCTCAAGAAAACTGGGTTTCTAAGATCTGATAAATTTGGAAAACAGCAGTATGTTATACCTGCCTCTAAAGAATTCACAATGTTTTTTTAACATATTAAAGGCTCTGGAGATTTCTGCAAAAAAAAATGCTGTTTAACTTTCTTTAAAGTCATATTTATTTGAATAAGGAACACTTTAAGTAACATATAACTTCATGCCTTTGAAAATGCCAGAAAATATAGTATGTGCTCAACCACAAAAGTGAAAAGGTTCAGGGGACTCAGGTGAACAGCGGAAAAGAAAAGAGGGCAGATGCGGGCAGATTATGGTAAGCCTCATATATTACATTAAGAGTTTGAAGACAACTAAGAACTGAATTAGTTTTAGGCAGGAGAGTTATCTAATTTGACTTGTAGAGATCTTACTGCAACAGACTGGTCCACACTGTGGGATGAGTTGAAACACTCTTTCTAGTTACTGCTTTTCTGCATTTAGAAAACACTGCATGTTTCCAAAGATACACTTGAGCTCCCCTGAGTTGGTTTTGCAAATTGAAATAGGTGATTCATGAGGACAAGGACCATGTCTGATCTTTTCACCTGAGTGCCTACAACCATGCCTGATACATGACAGGTATATTCATAAGTATTTTTTTTGGATGAATGAGTAGCGGAAATGAGTAGGCATCCCCTGTGGCTACTGCATTTAGGCTTGGTGGTCTAATACAATATTACTTCTCCATTTTCACTACCCCTCCTTTTTTCTTTCTTTTTAAATTTTTATTTTTTTAAATTGAAGTACAGTTGACTTACATATCCACCGTTTCATTTGTTTATTTTTTGGCCACGCTGTGCGGCATGCAGGATCTTAGTTCCCCAATAGGGGACTGAACCTGTGCCCCCTGCTTTGGGAGAACAGAGTCTTAACTACTGGACCACCAGGGAAGTCCCTACCCTTCCTTCTTTCTTAAAAATGTTGTGGCTCAAACTGGAAGGTGAAAGGCCTAGTAAACTCCCATAACAGGAGTATATTTATATCACTCTGGAGCAGAGAGATTATACTTGATCTGTGGGAACTCAATGAGTCAGTCACAGACCACAGCAGCAACTAACTGCTCCAATAATGAGGGTAGACTGAGGCAAAGCCAAGAGTGCATGCAATCACCCAGGTATTAGAGAGAAGGTATAGTTGGAAAGGGACAAAAAAATCTAGTTACAAGGACATATTCATTCCTGCCCCATCTCATCCCACAAAGATTGTATAAGTATCTTATATAAAACACAGATAATAAAAAAGCAAAATACAAACTGAAAACAAAGTTTAGAATAGAACGATCGGGGAAAAAAGAAAGCTAATGATTAGGGTTCTAAATTTATACAGTGTTGCTCTATTTGAACTGTTTATTGGGTTCCAAAGTTTTTGGCACCAAAAATGAAACCTGCAATCATGGTCAATCATATACAACTCCTTGATAGGAAAAATTCCTACAGTAACAGCAAGGCTTTTCCAGGTATTCTTCTTAACAACAACAACAACAACAAAAAGTGTTACACTGGGTTCCACACTGATTATTCTACAAATATAGGGCTCAAGAAGACAGATTTGAGTTACTTGCATAGTGTTAGAAAAAGAAACAGAATTCCTTATATTTGCACAAGAAACTCATGATCAGAAGATACAACCTTACCTTTATAACAAGCTCTTTAAAATTGGGAGTGGATATTAATTTCTCTTTTTAAACATAAACTTCAAATTTTAAATAATTTTAAATATTCCATTTACAAATTTAAAATCAACAATGATATTACAAGCAATTCAGATCACAAGGAGAGAAATTTTACCTCTACAGCCTGGCTCTGAAGATTCTTGAGAGAGTGCGTGGTCTTGAGCACTTCCTAAAGGGTCAGAACACGGGCTAGATGAGGCATGTTCAACTCCTGACAAAGAAAGAAAAATTAATGAGAATAAATAAAGATGGGGAAAAAAATTAAGTAAAGCCAAAATCAAAGTTTTATGGGATTTCTGACCTACTATTTATCCCTTTTGAGTAGATTTATGACTTAATCTGTATTCCTCCCACCCCCTAAATCAAGACACAAATTCATGCCGTGTATTTACCACTTTTCAGATCCCCCTGCTCTTCCTTGGCATTTTTCCACTGAACCCAGTTCTTCCAGGCATTTACCCCATACATGTATTTCAGTGTCATCCCAGACACTGAGCACCCTTGAAAGGCTCCTTGAATAAGACTCCTGGGCTCCACAGACACTACAGACTTCTTCCGTCCCTGTAAGAATTCCAAAAATTTACAGAATATAAAATTTAGTTTCAGAGCTTTAAGAATTGGGATTCTCAAAGACAGAATGGGCATAAATTTACAGAAAATGCAATTTAGTATTAGATCCCAAAGATTCAGAGCTCTTAGAGCTAGAAAGAGCTTAGTCATCTAATCCAATCCATATGAGAAAAGAAAAAAAGAGAAAATTGAAGTGTAGAAGGTAATATTTTAATAATCACTAACATTTGGGTATTTACTATGTTCCGGATGCTGGACCCACCCAATGAGGTATGAATAACAGTTATTACCACTCAGGTCTATTTAATGGAACATACGAATAGATGGCTCTAAAAGAAGCTTCAATAAATTCTCTAACTACAATGGAATTCAGCTAGAAATCAGTACTGAAATAGTGTTAGAAAAATCCTGAAAACTCAGAAATTAAACAACACATGTTAAGAAACCACAAATGCGATTAGAGAATATTTTGAACTTAAGTAAAAATGAAAACAAAACGTATCAAACTTTATGTAATAGTGCTAAAGCAGTGCTTATAAGGGCATTTACAGTATTAAAATGCTTCTATGAGAAGTGAAAGAAGTCTAAAATCAATAATCTAGCCTCTGTGTTAAGAAACTAGAAAAAAGACTTCATTAAAACCCAAAGTAAGGAAATAATAAAAAATAGAGCAAAAATCAATAAAAAGAAAAGATAAAGGAAAAATCAATAAAATGAAGAGCTGGTACTTTTAGAAGGTTAAAAAAACATGATAAATCTCTAGCTAGAATGATCAGGGATAAAAGAAAAAAGACACAAATTATCAACACCTGACCCCACACATATAAAAAGAATAATAAAACTGTGAACGTCATTATGACAATAAACTAGACAGCTTAGATAAACTGAACAAATTTCTTGAAAGACACAAACTAACAAAGCTTGCTCTAGAAAAAATAGATAACCTAAGTAGCTAGAGAAATTCAATTCATAGTTTAAAACCTTCCCATAAAAAAAAATCCAGACCCAGATGACTTCACTGTTGAAGTCTACCCAAGAATTAAGTAATTATATAAACTGTATTTCAGAAAATAGAAGAGGAGGAACACTAACTCACTTATATTACTATTATCCTGACAGCAAGGCCAGATAAAGTCATCACAAGAAAACAGATCAATAGCTCTTTTAAACTGAGACACTTAAAACCTTAACAAATATTAGCAAACTGAATCCAGCAACGTATAGAAGAATAAAAACATCAAAAGAAAAGTAGTGCTCATCCCATAAATGCAAGGTTAGTTTATAATTTAAAAAATTAATGTATTTCACCACTTTAAAAGACTCAGAAAAGAAAAACCAGATGATCATCTCAAGAGATCACCTGACAAAGTTCAAAACACAATCAAAAACACTCTGAGCAATTAGAAATAGAAAGGAACTTCCTGAACTTGATAGAGGTCATCTATGAGAAACATATAGGTAACATCATACTCAATATTGTAAGGCTGAACACTTCCCTAAAATTGGGAAGAGGCATGAAGGTCTGCACTCATTACTTATATTAAACATTGTACTAAAGATCCTTGTTAATGCAATAAATCAAAAAAAGAAAGAAAATGCACTAAGATTGTAAAGGAAAAAGTGAAACTGCCTTTATTTACAGATAATATGATTGTGTAGGTAGAAAATCCTAAGGATTTCAGTTGAGCAAAATCACCGTATATAAAATCAATATTCAAAACCATCTCTATTTCTATGTCAATGAAGAACACTAGAAAAGGAAATTTAAAAATAACGCTATTCACAACAGGATCAAAAATATATTAAAATACTTATTAGATAAATTTGGTAAAGTATAAGACTTGTAAAATGAAAAATACAAAACACTGTTGGGAGATAATCTGAATAAAGGTGAAAGATACCATCTTTATGGACTGGATGGCTCAAAGTTGCTAGGATGTCAATTCTCTGCAAATTGATCCATGGATTAAGAACAGCCCCAATCAAAATTTCAGCAGACTTTTTTGTAGAAATTGACAAGCTGATTCTAAAATGTATATGGAAATTCAAATAAATCCTTTGAAAAAGATGAACAAAGATGGAAGACCTACACTCCTATTTCAAGACTCACTGTAAAGCTACATTAATCAAGTCAGTTGGTACTGGTATAAAAATAGACATGTATATCAATGGAACACAATAGTTTCAGAAACAGACCAAGACATATATGGTCAGTTGACTTTAACAAAAGTGCCAATGTAACTGAAGGGGAAAAGACAGCATTTACAAAAGTGGTACTAGAACAACTGTATATCCATACACACAAAAAAATGAAATGTGATGCCTTAACTTATACATAAAAATTATCTCAAAATGGATCACAGAAAACATAAAAGAAAATTATAAAACTAGGAGAAAATGTAAGAGAAAATCTTAATTACCATAGTTAAGTTAAGCAAAGATTTTTAGATGGGATAATAAAAAGCACAAATTATAAAAGAATAAAAACTGATAAAGTAGACTTCTCAAAAGTAAAAAGTTCTGTCCTAGTGTGGGTGACCAAGATGGCAGAATAGGAAGACCCTGAGCTCCCCACCTCCCATGGGCACACCAAAATTATTACTATGTACAGAGCAACTTTCCATAAAAATGACCTGAAGACTAGCAGAAAAGATCTTTTACAGCTAAAGATATAAAGAAGGAACTACAAGATGGGTAGAAAGGGGCAGAGACACGGTATAATCAAGACCCACACCACCAGGTTAGGTGACACACAAATGGGAAGATAATCACAATTGGAGATGTTCTCCCCAAGAAGTGAGAGGTCTGAGCCCCATATAGGGCTCCCCAGTCTGGGGCTCCTGCACTGGGAAGATAAACCTCCAGAACACTTGGTTTTGAAGGCCAGCGGGGCTTGTTTTCAGGAGAGCCAGAGGGCTGCAGGAAACAAGAGACTCCCACTCTCAAAGGGTACACACAAAATCTCACATGATCTGAGACCCAGGGCAAAAGCAGTAATTTGAAAGGAGACTGGGTCAGACCCACTTGATTTCAGAGAGCCTCCCAGAGAGTCAAGAGGAAACTGGGACTCACCCTGGGGACACAGATGCTGGCGGAAGCCATTTTGGGGAGCTCACTCTACAACAAGAACACTGCTGCTAGCAAGCACCATTTTGGACTCCTCCCACTAAGTTAAATGAGAACTGGAGCCAGCCTGCCCACCAGCCAGTTGCCAACAATCCTGGGGCGCTTGAGGCCAAGAAGCTAGCCAGGTGGGGACACAGCCCCAAACACCAGCAAGTTTGCTGCCTTAGGCTCCCATGAGCCCTCAGCCACCCTGAACAAGGCTCTGCCCACCAGTGGAGAGGCACTAGTCCCAGGACCTCCTGGGCCCTGGCCTTGCCCACCAGCAGGCTGACACCAACTCTAGGATCACCAGGGCCCCACAGCCAGAGATCCTCAGGAGCAGGCCCTTCCCACCAGTGGACCAACACTAGCCCCAGGATACCGTGGGACCTAGACCAATACATCCACAAGCCAATACCAGCTTCAGGAACCAGGCCCCCCAGCCAGAGACCCTGGGACCCAGCTCTGTGCACCAATGGAACAGAACTAGTCCCAGGATACAGCCTCACCCACCACTGGTTGGCACCAGCCCTGGGATCCCATGAGCCCTGGCCCTGCCCACTAGAGAGCAGACACTAGCCCCTGGGTATACCGCAGCCCTGTAGCCACCTGTGTCAGGACCCAGCCTGTAACCCAGTGGGTCAAAACCAGGCCGAGAACACCCACCCTCCACCCAGTCCCACCCACCAGCAGGACAGCATTAGCCTGGGAACTCCTCAGGGCTCTGCTGCCTCATGACATGGCCCTGCCCACCAGTGGGCCAGCACCAGGACCAGAACGCCCCAGGCTGCAGCCAACCACACCAGAGTCGGAGGCCTCTGCATTAGGCAGGGTCTGGCAAACAACCGGTCTTGGACTTTCTGGTCCCAGCACGCCCACAGTAGTCAGCCATGCTGACCATGCTTATCAGAACGCCCACAGTAGTCAGCTTGTCATAAGGGCCCATGCAGTGCATATACAGGGCACCCCTAGAGCATACAGCTCTGGTGACTAGAAGGGAGTCTGCTGCTCAGCCCCGTAGAATGTCTCTTACATAAGGTCACTTATCTAAGATTGGTAAACGGAACCAACCTATGAAATACATAGAAGTAAAAACAAAGAACTAGGCAAAATAAGGCAACAGAGGAATATGTTCCAAAGGAAGCATTCTACCCAATAAGACTGCAAGGTAATGACTGTAAAGATGCTCAAAGCACTCAGGAGAAGAATGAACACAGTGAGAGGTTAGAAGTTTCTAACAAAGAGTTAGAAAATATAATGAACAAGCAAGCAGAGCCAAAAAATACAATAATTGAAATAAAAGGAATTAACAGTAGGTTAGCTGATACAGAGGAACAGATCAGCAAACTGGAAGACAGTGTAGTCAAAATCACTCAAACTGAAGAGAAAAAAGAAAAAGAATTTTAAAAAGTGAGGACAGTTCAAGAGAACTCTGAGACAACTTTAAGTGTACCAACATTTGCATTGTAGAGGTCCTGGAAGAAGAGAGCACGGAAGGAGCAGAGGATGTATTTGAAGACATAATAGCTGAAAACGACCCTAATCTGGGAAAAGAACCAAACATCCAAGTCCCAGAAGTACAGAAAGTCCCAAACAGACTCAATCCAAAGATTTCCACTCAAAGACACATTATAATTAAAATAGCAAACATTAAGGATAAAGAGAGAATTTAAAAGCATCAAAGGAAAAGCAACTAGTTACGTTAAAGGAAAATCCCATAAGGCTATCAGATGACTTTTCAGCAGAAATTCTGCAGGCCAGAAGGGACTGGCACCATGTATGTAAAGTGATGAAAGGGAAAAAACCTACAACGAAGAATACTATACCCAGCAAGCCTTTCATTCAGATTTGATAGAGAGATTAAGAGTTTTTTACAGACAAGCAAA